GGGGGGGGGGGGGAAGCTTTTTACTATTTAAAGGGATTTATTTATTTATTAAGGTTTTGTTTTACAATTAAATTTTAAAGGGACAATAAAGGAGACAAGTGATTTTAATGAAATGTCTGATTATATATTTTTGGGCTGGTGGGAAAGGGAGTTATCAAACCTCCCTGCAACTTGTAACTATTCTGTTATACAAAAGCTTGGACTTATAGCCTCATGTATGGCTTGTCTAAATAAACTAAGCCGTCTTGAATTGGATCGTTGGCTGTGGCTTTTCACATAATTTTCTTTACCATGTATTTCTTTTTGAGTTTTCCTTTTCCTTTTCATTACTACCAATGCTGCTGATAGGGTATTGTGGAGCAACAAGCAGAAGGGTTGATGAAAGAAGCAGAGCGGGTCCTAGTCTTCCTAGTCTTGAGCAATATCGATCGCCTGTGGAAAGAACATCTGCAAGCACTAAAATTCGTTCAGCAAGCCGTGGGATTACGTGGTTATGCGCAGCGGGATCCACTTATTGAGTATAAGCTTGAAGGCTATAACCTTTTCTTGGATATGATGGCACAAATAAGAAGAAACGTCATCTATTCTGTGTATCAGGTTTGCTTTAATCTAGATTTAGGCTACTGCGCTTTTACCCGTTATTATAATATTTATAACTGCGTAACTCCTTACTGAACTTTTGGCAGTTCCAACCAGTGCTGGTAAAGCAAGATCAGGATAATGAAACGGAGAATCCGAAATCAGGAAAACGTAATGCTCGCTCTCGGGTTAATTCAAACCCTGATCCAGTTGGCACTGCCAAGCCTTCAACATCTAGTACCTAATCCAGCGCTAAAGATGGCACTAATATGTAACTGGAGTTCTAACATATTGAACGAGAAGGAACAAATTGGATGTTTAAATTGTATTCCCCGAGAAGGAACAAATAGGAAAGCTTCGGTTGATCCTCCATGCATGTTGTAATTTATTGTAGAGATTGACATGTTGTAAAATTTATTGTGAAATAGAAATTATGTTTATTGTAGAGTAAAAATGTATATATCAAAGTATAAAAAGCTTAAGTTGATCATAAGCTGAAGTATAAAAAGTTTATGTATATAATTTATTATGATGCTCAAACGAAAAACATTTACAATTAAATAGCATTTTTAACCTCCCACTCAAGGGAAAAAAATAGAACTACATTAGAAGGCGAGGCCAATAATAGGTCATAACCCAAAATATAGCAATTAAATTACATCTTTGACAGCTTTACACTTTTTTGTCAGGGTCCTGAAAATCACTGCACATCAAATATTGCTGCTGAATATTATTGCCCTGGTGAAAGTTCAAATCTTTCGCCTTGAATAATTTCCTGAACAATTTTATTTATGGTGCTTCCTTTAACCTGCATTCATTGAAATGTAATGAATAAGTTCGTTAACAATAATCTTTAATTATTATTTTTTTGGGATTTTTAGAAATTTTAAATAATATTTATTTATTATGAAAATAAGACAACCAAACATGATACAAAATTAAGTGAGGGCAGGATCTCACCTTAATTCCAATAGCAATTGCCGTTTTTAATTGAACAAGTTCACCTAATCGCAAAGAACCTTGTTTATTATCTCTAACAAAGATCAGGGGCACACTCCTTGATGAAGCCAAACTAGGGAGATGCTTCGTCAACCATCGTGGGTTACAGTCAGAAGCAACAAGCACAGCCTGCATAACGTACAACGTAAATAATGTTCTGTTTAAGACTGCATATAACAAAGCCACGCACCCACACATGAAACCAGACAGAGGCATATACTGACACAGTAATATAACACTATTACAAGTACAAACAGAACTACATACAGACTTGATCAGTTATCGCAAAGAAAAACTACTCAAGTTTGGGCTATACAAGATAAAACAATTAGGCACTTACATACAACATCAACTATTAGTATTTGCAATGATAAGCAAAAACAAAAGCATATCAGTGGTTCGCAGTTTGCAGAAAAAGTGCATGCTGAAGGATTTACTTACAAGTGATGAACTAAAGATTTTACATATTCTACATAGCAGAACAGAGGAAATCAACCTGAAGCTTAACCGAAGATGCTTTATGATTTCTTCTTAAAGGGAAGAGTTCGGCAGACCTTTCCAATTCAGTGCACGGGTTCATGCGTTCAAGGACACGAGTTACATCATTGACCCCAATAGAAAATTGTTGCTGCAAGGAACAACAGAGAGGTTACACGACTATGGATGCTTCCCGATAAATTTATCCAAATGCCTTGAGGTTTCATAAACCAAGAAAAGTCAAACCTTAAACCATATCTTCTCTGGCAAGGAACTTCCATCTAAAAGTCTTGTAGACTGGATCTCCCTGTTCAACAGAATAAGCATTTGTAAGATCAGGTGAAAAATTGCACCAGCATTGAAGGAAGTAGTTTGAGTAGTTCACTCTTTAAACCGTTAAACCTTCTCAGCTTCAATAAAAACGGCCTTGTGAATCAAAACATGTATCTTACCTATGGATTGATTGGAGCAGACTGGTGAGACGTTCTCCTTCATAGCAACTGCAGATAGAAACAAAGGTTAAATTATAGAGTTTATACTACCAAAAAAAAAATGATGATTATTATAAGATTAAAAAAACAATAGCATTTATAACAGAACAACGAATATACAATAGGAGTTCATTCATAAACAAAAGGGGAGGGTGCTGCATACTTATTCTCTTGAGAAGCAATGCTCGAATTTGAGTTGTTCTTGTTCCCATCCTTCTTTGGAGTTTTGGCACTACTTCTACTCGCCATACTCTACTCTAGATGTTGCCAGATTCAGTATTAAGTGACACTAACGCAACTAACTAATTCGAAAAGGCTTTTCAATCCTATCAAACAATAACGCACTGCATTCGATAAATTCTTCAACGAAAATAATTTGGTAACAGAACCAAAAAGAAACTGATGATTAAAACAACATTAAACGCACCAGAGTCGAAGATTGGCGCCTGAATTGATGCTTCTAATCACACTTCAACGTTGAACACAGAATTCAGAAGCAATCGAGAGAGCGAGCCCTATTTTATTTCTTGCAGCGTTTTATATCATAGATTTGGGCTTCGTAAGATTTTGAGCGGGTTGATGATATATACACCTCCATTTTTTTTTATACATACACCCCCTTTTTTTATAAAAAAAATATTAAATTTCTAAATTATTTTTAATATTATTTGAAATAAAAAAAAATATTATTCTAGAAAGTGTTTTTCAAAAGTTGATGATATATACACTTTTTTTTTCCTATAAAGTACACCTCTTTTTCAAAAAAAATAATTAAATTTTAAAATATTTTTAATTTTACATTCACAACATTTAATTTAGTACCTTTTTTTTACAGATCTTTCTTTTTTCTTCTTTTTTTCTTTTTTCAATTTTTACATGCACCCCGTTATCTTTCCTTCACCCCACCTATCTTGGTAGCATGTAAAAATTGAAAGAGAAAAAAAATGTGTGAATAAAAAGAAAAAAGTAGAAAATTGAAAGTTAAAGGTATAAAATTAAAATATATATATAATATTTTATAATTTTTTTAAAAAAATAAGGAAGGTGTATTTATAAAAAAAACAGGAGGTGTATATATCATGAGCCTTCCGAAAAGAACTTTCCGTCAGAATAATTACGGAAAGTACTTTCCAGAATACTAAAATTACTATTCCGGAAATAACTTTCCGTCAAAATAATTATGGAAAATACTTTCCGTAACACTATAATTACTATTACGAAAAATTCTTTCTGGAATATTAATAGTGTTTGTATTTGTTACCATAATTCCAGAAAGAACTTTTCGCAATAGTAATTTTAGTGTTACGGAAAGTACTTTCCAGAATTATTCCGACGGAAAGTTATTTCTGGAATAGTAATTTTAGTATTCCGGAAAGAACTTTCTATAATTATGTACAAATACACCTCCAAAAAAAATTTTCCATGATAATTTTTTTTTTATTTCAAATAATATTAAGGATAATTTAAGAATTTAATATTTTTTTTAAAAAGGGGGTGTATGTATAAAAAAAATGGAGGTGTATATATCATCAGTCTTTTGAGCGCCCTAGTTGTTGGGCTTGGACTGGGGAACATAGATGGCCCACCAAAAATGGGCCCAAATGGAAAAGGAATGTATGGACCCATTGAAAAATAAATAAAAGCAAGGTTCATGATATATACACTTCCTTTTTTCTATAAGTACACTTCCTTTTAAAAAAATAATTAAAATTTTAAAATATTTTTAATTTTTTGTTTTAAATTTTTTAATTTTACATCCACAACATTTAATTTAGTACTTTTTTTCACATATCTTTCCTTTTTTTTTCAATTTTTACATGCACCCCCATATTTTTCCTTCACCCGACTTATTTTGGTAGCATGTGAAAATTGAAAGAGAAAAAAAAAATGTGTGAATAATAAGAAGAAAGTAGCAAATTGAAAGTTAAAAGTGTAAAATTAAATTTTTTTAAAAAAATTATAATATTTTATAATAAAAAAATTAAATGAAGGAGGTGTAGTTATAAAAAAGGAGATATATATCATGAGCCTAAAAGAAAAAGGGGATGACGCCCTTCCTAGTGCCTTGAAACCAAACAGCAAGCTTTTTGACCCAAGAATGTTGTTTCAGAACAATAATGGGCTTTCTTTTTTCTCCTTCCTTCAAATTATGATTTTCTCATCAATTCGTGCACAATTTCTAAACGTACCATCCTTAATTAATAATTTTGTCCTTTTTTTATTATCTAAAATATTTGTCTAATTGCTAAACGTACTCCCTGTCACAAAATAGGAAGATCTGTCCTATTATCTCCTCTCATTCGGGGACTAGTAAGCAAATAGTCTGACCCGGCCGTTAGTATAAATATTTTTTTTTTATGTATAAAAACTAAAAGAATGTAAAGAAAAATATATATATTTTTAGGTTCATATTTGCTACTATTTCCTTCAAATGTTCATATATATTTTCTAATTAGATTATACTTTTTTATATTTAGTTTAAAAACAACGAGTTATGTCAAATCTATTTTATGAACTTTGCACAATAATGTGTTTTAACTTTGCACAAAACTTTGAGATGGTCCTCATGATTCATGAACTTTGTGTGGACTGCATATTCATTTATTATCACTTATTATTATTATCATGATCTTGGAATGGGGACACTGAATAAACGACGAAACTCATTTTCTTATTTTTAGCTTGCCCAATAATGACTAACCCCGTCTCGGTCCAATTCTAATTTTATATTCACTCATTTTCATTTTGTTTAAGTTTAACGTTTTAATTTTTTTTTCTGTTTCAATTAGTTTAACAATATCATTCAAACATTAAATATATTTTTCTATTATATCCTTAACGATTATTAATGCATTTTTTTATTATTGATAAAAATTCAAAAATAAAAAATTATATAATTTATTTTATAAAACCAAATATATTAATCGTTCAACAATAATTGTAATTTTAATATTTGAAAAAGTATTCTAAAATGAATAATGTTACTTTTTAGTATAATATTAATATTAATAAACTTTTTCTAGTTTATTTCTTTCTAAATTATTTAACAATCATAATTAAAAATAATATATTTATTGAAATAATAAGTTACTAATATTTTAATAAAATTGTATTAATAAATGATATATTTATTATAGTCATTAATTTATATATAAAAATCTTAAACCATAATCATTGTAAAATAAAGAATCATTATAAGAGTGAGAGAATACTATTGTTAAAAAAAAATAATTTTTATATATTTTTAGCTAAATCAACTCTCCTATTTCTAAAGTGTTAATCAAAGTGGTGAGATGGATCCCCTTAAATATAAAGTAAGAAAGAGATTAGTTAAAATTATAAGAGATCATATCAATATTGTTTTAACATAATAGTTCTTTTTTTCTTTTTTCTTTTTTCTTTTTTTAAAGAAAAAAGGAAGAGATTCTAATGCCCTAACTTGTTCGTTTTATAACTAACGTATTTCGTTATAGTTTTCATTTAATTTTCTTAAATTTAATTTAAATACATTCTTAATATAAAATTATTTTATACTATGCAGAAATTATCATATATAATAAAATGATTAGATTTTTTAATTGCTTTAAAAATCATATTTAGACTAATTTATAATTAGTTGAGATATAGAAATCTTTGTACTAAATACCGCTATATATAAAAACAATATATTTTAAAAATAAAATATTTAAATATAAATTTAATTAAAAGCATATACTATCATATGTACGAAATGTGATTAAATTCTAGTTGTATGATGTTGAAATTTTTTAGGATATATGATAGTCCTAACGACAAGTCAAAGGCCAAATTTAAACTATTTAAATACACTAAAACAAAAAGAGTTTAAAAGTAAACTAAAAGCAACTCTTATCTTTTTCTCTCTTTTTTTAAGAAGACAATAAATAATTTTAAAATGATAAGAACTTGACACTTGTTATTTTTGAAAAAAAAAACGACACTTTAAAAAGTAAACACCCTATTATATTCTTATAAAAAAAAAGTTATTCAACCTAATTTGATTTATAAAATAAAAATATCCAATAATATTTTAAATTAAAAATATTAAATACTTTAAATGATATCTATCAAAAGTTATATATAAAAAAATAAGTTGTACTTTTTTTTTCAATCAATAATTTCGATCTTTTATTTTAAAAGAGAAATATTTAGTTATCCTATTTTAAAAGTATGAAATTTTAATTTTACTATTAATTTGATATTTGTTAATTATTAAATTTTGATATTATTTAATGACTTAGCACCACTTAAATGACACGATATGTAATAATAAAAATTAAAATTATTACACAAAAAGATTTTTATTTGTCTATTTTAATAAATGATTGATATTTATTTTATTAAAATTTTATTTAAATAATTTATTCTTTTTTATTTTTATATTTTTTATATTTAAATATTGTTATTAAATGTTACTATCATTTAAATATTTTTAAAACTTAATTTTATATGTTAACTTGACATGAAGATCAAATTACATATTTTTAAAACTAGAGAGACTAAATGTCTTTTCTTTGAAATAAAAATGCCAAAATTTTCAATTAACAAAAATAAATAGACAAAAAGAAAAATTTAATTAAAAAATTAAAAATAAAATTTTAATTACAAGTTTTTTTTATATATATTTTAGTATAAAAAATTACAAACCAAGATGCATTGAATGTATTGGCATAAAATATTAATAATTTATTTCTGAATAGTCTTATATCACAAATTTGAATACACAATTTAATTAATTTTTCCCCTCTTTATCAAATAATTTAATTTGTATATTTTCTCTTCTTTATCTTTAATTCTTTACTTACTTTTTTCACACATAACTTATATAAAAATAAAATTATTTGTTGAAGTTTTTTTTTTCTTAAAGTTTTGATTATTGTTTGTATAAGTATGTTATTATCTATAAAAGTTTAATTAATATTTTTAAAATCAAGTTATTATTTTAAAAATTAAATCCCATTTTATTTTATTTTTATATATATTTTTTATTTAGTTCTTTAATAAATTTTATTTGACTTTAGTTCTTGAAAATTTTCTCATGAATAAAAAAATTGTAATTAAAAAAATGATAATAGAAAGAAAAACCCTAAACCCTAAACCTGTCATGGTTCATATAGTATACAATACAATAACTATCTTAAAATCATATACAATAGTCTTGCACATGTAAATATAAATATATATACAACTAAGTTATCGGTCAAACAACTATAACTATCTACACAAAAATCCATCTCCAATAGGTAGTCAACAAAACATCCTGCTACAAACGTCACTGTGTGGCTTCTACTATGACACTCTAGCCCTATCCTTGTTCTTAGGGATGGCAAATGGGTTGTGACCCACGGGCCAGCTCGTTGGCCTGCCAAAAATTGGTAGGTCGGGCCCAATATTTCAACCCGCTGACTTGCCAAACTCGCCAGCCCGTTGGGCCAAATAACGGGTTGACCCGTCACAACCTGTCAACTTGCATACTTTAGTTTTTTATATTTAATTTTTTTCATGTTTAATTTATTTTGATACAGAAGATGAAGATAAAGATGATCAATACAAAAAAGTAGAAACAACTTCTTCTAAGGGAGCTTCTAATGTTCTTGAAATAGAAAGTTAAAGTTAATTAATTGTTTTTGGACTTGTTTTGTGGACTATCAAAATTTTAGTTTATTAGTAATTTGTAAGTTTATAATTTGGTTTTGATTTTGGTGTAAGTAGACTAATTTTTATTTGATTTTGTTATAAATTTGTAATTTGCTTTTGTTGAACATATATTATGTATAATATGTATGCATTTTTAATTTCATATGGTTATATTTATTTATTTGTAGCAATTTTTTTTATTTGAACATAATATATTTTTTTTTTGTGGTATGCGGGCTGGCCTGCCGACCCGCTAACTTGTCCTTAGGCGAGGTGGGTTAGCTATCCCAACCCGTTTTCTATTGGCGGCCTGGGCCGGCCCGACCTTTTTGGGCAGGCCGGGCCAAAATGGTCCGGGCTAGCCCATTTTGCCACCCCTACCAGTTCTATTTTCATACCACGTATGATCATCATAATCCAAACTACATGGAAACATGTAAGGGTAAGCTAGGAAAAAGAAACAACATATATACAATACAAAAACATCACATCATCATTTCATCTTTGACAACATAGTAACAAAACATCATAGTATATAACACAGTTCAACATAATCCAATTCTGATTCATCACAACAATATATTTCATCATAGTTCAACACAACATATGAACAACACAATCAACTAAACACATCATATGTTCAACATAGCAACTAGATGCGTTGTCATTCATTTTAACTAGGAGATCTCCTACAGTGCAAAGTGAACAGTTTAAGTGGCTTGATCCTACTGAACCGACAACACATGGTGATCTTTTTGGGCTTCCTAGATCAATAGTAAATTGGATATAAATCCACAACACAACAACTTAGTTTTTCGGATGTCGTCACTTAAACAATGAAGTATAATACTAATGTCAAGATAGAGCAATTGGGTACAGGCCTATCACAACATTAGCTAGCTTAACCAAGCCTCCTATGAGATTAACCCACTAACTATCCTCCAAAGACTACAACCTTCCAATACTAGGTTAGGAACTAAGTTTTCGACTTCGTACTTTACTCCATTGGTCACTTGTAATCAGTATAACTTGACCTGACCCTATACTATGATCACTTCATACACGTGTATCTCGACCTTGCCCACACATAGTATCAACATAGTCCTAAAGGAGAAACAACACAATATCTACTTTAAGGGTCAACTTCCCAAGAAAGATTTTTTAACAAATTGAGCTCTCGAAGTACCACAATACAATATCCACACAATGGGATATGCACCTTTCGAAAATATCTCTTATATTCCAAAGTGGTCAACACAACTCAACAACATAGCAACTCATTATAATTTTCAACACAAAAACTCAATCAACACACAACTTTTCAACTCATATCACCATCATCACAACTCATTTACAACATTATGATCAACATGCATCTCAACAACACATCAACATTGTTCATATAGAATCATAACACAGCTACACAACTTCACAACATATTACTCAACCCCACTTTAAAATTTACATCATGTCAACTTAAACAACTTAAATAACACATATTTTTACAACATTGACATCTTAAGAAAACAACAACATAAATCAACTTAAGCAATTAAAACAACTTACAACTTAATCAAATAACTTATTGTGAAATGACAACCTTCACTTAAAACAACACATAAAAAGTTTTACTACTCCTATCATGCTCATCCTTATCTCATATGAAAGGCAAGAAGATTTTCTACAACTTTCATGCGTAACTCAGGTTCTAATTCCCTCATCTACCCTGTTAAAAATGGTAAAAATCGCAACAATTCTCCTAAATCGTGACAGCTTGACCTTTGCTCACTAAACAGGTCATAACTAGAGTTCTAGACCTCTTTTTTAGGTGATTCCAACGTCATTGGAAAGCTAACTTCCAAGGCTAAAACTTTTGTGAAGACCCCAAGACCAAATTTGGTCATCTACCCTCGACGTTGTAGCACGCTAGCATTGGATTTCTGCAAGGTTTGTTTCCTCTAAAGGCTTTGGAATACTTCAAAGTAGAAGAAAATAATAAGAAGGAAAAGGGCTCCATGTTTCAACAACTCAAGCTCTGCAACTACACCACAAATTAAGCTCCAAATCTCATAGATCTTCTCTTAAGAACCTAAGAAAAGAAAGATAAGTGTTTTGATTTTGGAAGTTTCTCTCCCCTTTTAAGTCAAGACTTCACAAGAACTAAAAAGTAAAAATGGACAAAATTTCAGAGATCAAAATTAGTAAAAAGTTTATTCAATAAAAGTGGGCAAAATTAAAAACATATTAATCCTTATTATATTTTGATCTTCAAACTTAAAATTAGTATTTTATATTAATTTAATTTGGTAAAATATTGTTAAATATATATTTTTGACTTAAATTATATATTATATATAAAATACTTATACTGAGACTTTGTTTTTGGTAACGAAATATTTATACAGAGATTAAAGTATTGCTTAAAATAACTGCTAAGTATATTAATTAAAATAAGTGGAAAAAAAAATTCTACGAGTTGTTTTTTATTTTTTATTTTAAGACATTGAATGCAAACTGGTTTTTGGTATTTTTGGCTAATCTGTCCTGTTGTTCCTTTCTTCTTGCTTGCACATGTATGGTTCATGTCTTCCCCTGTTTGGCTTACAAATCGCATTCCACAAACAAACACCAAAGAATGGAGCCGTTGATTAGTAACATATAACGTAGCCAAGTGTTTGAAAAAGATAGATTAATCAAATACTACACACGAACTGGAAATTGATTTGCGATCAAAATCCTAGATTCATACGTTATTCATCCCGAGAAACACGCAAACAAGAAAGATATCGGAAGTGGTGAACGCTTCACGCAAACCTCTCAAATCGTCTCTTTCTCCCCTTTTCGAAAAGCCCAAAACCAGACACCGATTGGAGAAGTTTCTTCATACCGAGTCCTGTATTAAAAATCATTGCTTGCTGTTGGTGCCCTTCTGGGTTGAGTTGGTTTCACAATGGTAGAGAGAGAAAGAGTTTTGAAGAAGATAGAGAGACACACTGAGAAGGGGGTCCTACTGCTTAATTTTTGAGGGGCATCAACAGTCTCTGTCAATGATTTTTACTTGGGTTGGGTGGTGCTGTTTCTCTCACTCTCAAATGACCCATCCAATCAGTATCAGTATCACACTCTTTTCTTGCTCACCAATTTGATCAATAAACCAAAATTCCTCTCTCTCTCTCTCTCTAGGAGCATTTCAAATTAGTCATTGAGGGTGGCTCAAAAGCTTTGCCTCTGGTCAAAAGGGACAAGTGGATCTCACTCATATGAAGAGACTTTCAACTGTGAGTCTGTGTTTGGTTATTGCTTTTTATTCCCTCTACCTTTCCCCTTGAGAGGTCTCAATCCAATGTTACTTTTTGGTTTCCACTGTCAAGCTTAGCAGTGGGTTGAGTAGTAGGATTGTAAGATCTAAGAGCAAAATTTTTACACAGATCAAGAACAGCATTCATGGATTCTCCTCTGTCTACCTTAGTGTAATTTAATTTGTGTAACTTGCTATCACTCATGCTTGAAGAGGTGGTCAATGAAAACTGATTGGCCTTTGGTTTTCTACTTTTTCTGTTGCTTTTCCTTGTAGCTTAAAATATCTTCTTGCTTATTTAACTGTTTGGAGAAATGTAGCTGATCTGAGTGGATTTTCAACTCGTCAATTTGAAATTCTTCTATCATTCTTGTATTGCTAAAGATATTGTTCTTGTTAGAGTTGAAAAAGCATGTGAAATGGTCCTCAAGGTTGTATAAAAGTTTATGTTTTCAACAATGAGGACTTTTCTAACTGATGGTGACATGTTTCTCTTGCAGTTAGTGGATGTGTTTCTGGTTCTTGCATTGTTCAGTTGTAGCACATGGACAGTGTGGAGCAGCTCGTGCTGCAATCAGATAAACTTGAAGGAAATCCGACCTCACAGCGTCAGTATTACTGAATTTGGAGCTGTTGGTGATGGGATCACTCTCAATACAAAAGCATTTCAAAATGCCATTTTCTACCTAAATTCATTTGCGGACAAAGGTGGAGCCAAACTTTTTGTCCCAGCTGGCCAGTGGTTAACTGGAAGCTTTGATCTCATCAGCCATCTAACTTTGTGGTTGGACAAAGATGCAGTAATTCTTGGATCAACGGTAAGCTACTCATTGTAATAATATAGTAAAATGCAAGGAAAAGGAAGATTAGCATATCTGCCAAATGTGTTTGCTTTGCTGGCTTGTCTGCAATGTAATTATGACATGATAAAATGTCACTTTCAGCAAAGACACAATGTTCCTAAGCTATGTTTCTTATGCATATTAATCAGTTTGGCAAATTTTTTCTTATAGTTAATTAATATGTACTTTCTGAGCTATATATGTGTTAATTTACGATGCAGATTTATTTTTACTGTTGAATTTTTGGCTTAAAAAATCTATTTATGTTATATGTGCTGACCTTACTGTCACATTTATGATATGTAACAAGTGAATTAAATGCCATATCATGCTTGTTACAGAACTCTGACGACTGGCCAGTTGTGGATCCTCTACCATCATACGGTCGTGGAAGGGAGTTGCCGGGTGGAAGGCATAAAAGCCTCATTTATGGGCGCAATTTGACTGATGTTGTCATAACAGGTTGGTAATTTTCAACGAGGTTAAGGATGAAAATTAAACTCATAGTAGTTTAACTTGTCATGACTTTGACAGGATATCTAATTTGATTAAGCATAAATAAAGATGGATGTGGATAATATTTGATTTATTAATTCAGATATGCGAATAGTTATATATTTATTATGCACCTTATACCTGTCTCATTTTAATTTTAAATTTTTAGAAATAATTTTAAAAAAAAATTTACTTGATATTTATATAATTTTTATTTTATCTTAAATTTATATTAAATGAAATTTAATATAATTTTGTAATTGTTATTCTATATTAAAAATTTTATTTGTCATATTGTTTACAAAAAATATTTAATTAAGTTCTGAGCGAATATTAGACAGGTATAAATATACTTAATACTTGGCAAAGATGGTGATAAAACATAAATTTTATACTTGTCCGATGTGATACAATAATGAAAATAAAATCCGTATCCGTCCAACCACATTTTCATCCAAGAAATTATTTTCTATGCATATATTTCAATCAATCATGATTTTTTCCCACCCAAAATTTTGCACCCTTTTCAGTTCTTTATCTTTATCTTCCTTTCATGCTAGTTGGTTGACCTTTGAATTCTAAAAGGCATTTTTTATTTATTTATAAAAAGTAAGCTCAAACCATGTAGTTTTGAGTTGAAGATTAGGAGTAGATTACTCAACCTTTAATAATTCAATTATAGATATACATATAGATATAGTTATAGATATAGATGTTATATATAGAGATGGAAGATCTACTTACTCTAAGAATAAGTATTAATGAACTTATTAAACTCAATAACTCATATTTTGTATCAAATTTCAATGATCTAACCGTTAAATTAAAATTTCTTGATGCATATATTAAGTCTACAAATTTTTAATAAATTTGATAATTATTTGATACCTCATTTCATTAATTCAAATTGACAGATAATCATAAAAATATTTTATATGTTGATTTGAATCTATATAACAAAATATCATATATTTTAAAAAATTTAAAAATTTATAAACATGACCTATACATTAAAAAATTTTAACTTAATAATTGGATCGCTGAAATTTAATGTAGAAAATTAAAATAGAAAATAAATTATTAACCAGAGTACCTCTTCATAGATAGATATAAAGATACCCTTTGAGTTTAACATGTATAATGACATGATTATCTCTATGAAAGAGCAGGAAAAAATTTAAAGACTATCCTATATTCAGTAATATTAAAATAAAATTAAGATTGGGAGATCATTATATTTCAAATAATCAATAAAGATTATTTGTGTGTTTAATTGACGTAATTAAATTTATTAAAAGCTAATAAATTTGTTTTATAATTGATAGAAAATGTTTGAATTATAAAAAGTATAAAAGTTTTTTAAAAAAAAAATTGGATCCGAACTATATAGTTTTGAGAAAAAAATTTGAAAGAGACAATTTTACCTTCAATAATATACAAATATACATATAAATTTAGATATGTGAATAGATTTATTATCTAAATACATGTGAACTCTTAAATTTAACATATATAATGACATAATTATCTCTATAAAAGTGCGGAAAACTTTTTTAATAGACTATTCTAGATATAGTAATATTAAGATTACATTTTTTTGTAACAAGTTGATAAAAAAAGAAAAATTATCTATCACATTTATTACTTTTTCTCTCTTTCATTCCCATGTCTGTCTTCCCTTCCAATGTGTATGCACCTGTAATGGGTGAATAAAGTTTTTTTATTTATTTACTTTTAATTTCAATTAATTGATTAACTGATGCCATGGGTATCCCAATGAAGGTAACAATGGAACTATAGATGGTCAAGGGAGTGTCTGGTGGAACAAGTTTTGGAACAAAACACTAGACTACACACGTCCTCATTTGGTTGAGTTGATGAATTCAACTGGGGTTCTCATTTCAAATATTACTTTCTTGAATTCACCATTTTGGACTATTCACCCTGTATATTGCAGGTTTGCTTCCTTAAGAAGAATTGAATTTATATTTCCATACTTATTTGTTGAACTTCGTTCACTTAAATTACCATTTTAGAACTATGCAATAGTGAAACTTTCATGATTTAGGAGGAGATTTAAGTCTGTTTTTCTGGATGAACAGCAATGTTATAATTCGGAATGTCACAATCCTTGCTCCTCAAAGCTCACCAAATACAGATGGCATTGATCCAGGTGATTTTTCTCCCTTGAGCTGGAAAGTCATACCCTGACCTGTGTATTCCACAATGCATAAGTATTCTTGATTGATTTTCAACAACCAAATGTTTTTTTTAGTTAGTGTTAATGCGATATCAAGTACTTGTCATGAATTGCTTTAAAGGGAATTTTTCATATGGACCAAAGGAAGACTAAATTTGTAAAAAAAAAGTGGTGCAATACGTTAATCACCTAGCTGGATTAAGCTATTGTTGTTGTGTTGGTGGAGATGCTTGCGTTCATAGAAATAAAGCTAAGTATCTCCTACTGTAGTTGACTTCTGTGCCCGCTAACTGACACTTAAAACTGCACCAATGTCCTTACCAATTTTCTTTCAAAGCACTTGTCATATTCTCATATACACATTCTAATTGTTTGCAGATTCTTCAGACAATGTATGCATTGAAGACTGTTATATAAGCACTGGTGATGATCTGATTTCCATCAAAAGCGGATGGGATGGATATGGGATTTCCTTTGGTCGACCCAGTACAAATATTAACATCCGCAGACTGATTGGGAAAACAACGAGTGCAGGGATTGCTATTGGAAGTGAGATGTCTGGAGGTGTATCAGAAGTTCATGCAGAAGATATTTACGTTTTTGACTCACGAAGTGCCATTAGAATAAAAACTTCTCCTGGCAGGGGTGGTTATGTTAGAAATGTCTATATCTCTAACATGATCTTGGCTAATGTAGATATTGCTATTAGGTTCACTGGTTTATATGGAGAACATCCAGATGACACTTGTGACCCAAATGCTTTACCGGTAATAGAAAAAATTACTATCAAGGATGTCACAGGGGAAAAAGTCAAACGTGCTGGCCTTATAGAGGGTATTAAAGGGGACAACTTTGTCAATATCTGCCTATCAAACATCACCCTGAATGTGAGATCAAAAATTCCATGGAACTGCTCTTACGTTAAAGGATACTCTGACTTGGTTTCACCTGAAGCTTGTGAGCCTCTCAAAGAGAGAATATTCCCTGAGCATATTTCAGATTGTTACTATATACCAAACCACTTAAAGAATTTGAGTAATCAAAATTCGGGTGCTTGGTTACTGTCATGGTAAATTATGGAGTTTAAAACATGAAGCTGCCAAAGTTCACTTATAGCTAAAATTTGATTCGTGAGTTTTTTCAACAGGACAAATTTTACCCAACAGAAGAAGTTGAATGGTGTTGCTGATCCTGTGGTTGTCTGTCCGCAGAATGATACCGAGAGATGATTGTTTTATTTGTTTCTTGTAATTTGTGTGCAGTAACAAATAATTGAGTGATTTATCAGAAATATGAATTTGAATGATTTCATGTCTTGCTTTACTAGCTAGTGGCTACATATGATTTTGAAAAAGAAAAATGATAATTCAAAACTAAATAAGGGCAAGATTATCGTTCATTGTCGATAGAGCCGAGGTTACTCTGATATTTTTCCTGTTTGTTACAAATGTGATGAATATTTTAGATTATGGGGGGTGGGGGGAAGGCAGCAGCTATTGAAGTTAGCAACCATTTATTAAATAAGGAATTCAGCAACCTAATAAAACACGATTTCATGATTTCACGATTTCGTCGTTAGTTGGTTTTCATTTTCATACAGGACGAGTAGAGAGGAGGAACTTTCTCGGGTTCTTGTCTTGCTGAGAAGTAAAGAGTACATAAAGCTTTGTTTAAAATAACTGTCTTTATGATAAAATTGAATAATAATAACGATTGAATTTCCATTATATGAGAGAATTAACAGATCAAATGAAGCCATACTTACAGGTTCGTTGGCTAATAGGAACTATCCCCATGTGTAAATTAAACAGAAATCCATGTTACATAAAGATTAACCATCCCATGTATAGATTATAAGGAATTAATGATATATAGAAAATGGGCATGAAGAATGGACATATCAACAACTCTTTCTCTAAGGTTGAGAATCTCAACTTCTAAAATACAGAGCTTATCTTGGGGATGGCACACTATCATCTTTGCTGATAACAGAACATAAAACCTGCCTTGAAATATGTGTTTCGAGCTCCCTGGACACACCTGTTAATTTCAAGTCGAAACTGCTTCTATATTTGTAGTGTGGGGATGCCATCATGCTGCTAGAGAACACTGTTGGTGAGCCAGCAGAAAATCTCCTTCTTGGGCTTGAAATCCTTCCTGGCGATCCAGTAAGTATCCCTTTTGCTATAAAAGGTGTAGAGCCAAAATCCTCAGTGTCCATATTTTTATCCGCATTCATCAATGGTCCGCATTTTGTTTCCAATGGAAGAGGTTTTAATGAATTATGTTCCCCCATTGGCTTTTCTCTCATAAGCTTTTCCTTGGCTTTCTCCGCTGCCAGTATGGCTTTCTCTCTGGTCAGCTTTATGAGTTTCCATGGATTAATGCTTACATGGAACTTCTTTGTCTTGATCAAGGGGGAAGGTTCAGTTTCTCCTTCAATCCTGATGGACAACCTAGGTGAGCTCTGAAAAGCTCAAAAATAAACAGCCCTGTAAGTTTTGAGTCAGAATCATGCCATTTAATGAAGCAATATATCTGATTCTTACCTGGTTTCCCTTGCATTGAAACCTTGACATTAGTGTTGGCTTTTCAGGTGAGTCAAAATCGACACTCTCATCTGAAGAGAAATCAGAATCATCCAATGATTCCAATTCCATGGCTTCATTCTCTTCTCTCATCGCTAGGATATAATCATAGGTTCTCATTCCCTTGAATCACATACACAACAGGATTCAATAGCAACAAATATTGCAGTACAAGGATATAGCTAAAAATTGAAGGCAAATCACTTTAGCGAACTGATTACACAAGCAAGCACTTGTCTTCTAATTCTAAACACTTTGGCAGACTGATTACTAAAGCACGTCTTGTCCTAACTATTAAATATCAAAGCATAGTAGTATATCATCGCTAATAGTTTCAGAGCATACAAGAAAAGAAAACTACCTTTCGTATTAGAACCACGTGAAAGAAGAAAAGCTGCCCCAATGCCGCTGAACTATAAGCTGTCAATAAGAGAAGCAACACCTGCAGCATTCCATGAAGATGAAAGCAAATCAAAAGCATGTTAAATTCATCAATTTAAGCCTGGCGCAGAATACAGAAATGTCCCAAAATGACTCAAACAACTTACACATATGGTGGCAAGAACTCCTCTCGGAAACTCTGCATGAAGCTTCCTCTGAAGCTCCTTTTCTATTCCCCTTTTATCAACAAAGCACCTGATAAATATAGCAACTGCAGTCCCTCCTTCAATGAAAAGCTGCAAACGTAACAAACAATGTTGGAAACAACTCAACTAACCTAATTGAACACTAGTTACTTCCGTTTCTAAAACTGAAAGAGTCTATTCACTAGTGAGTACTGACCATCAACAGAACGAAAATCATGAGAAGAAAGAAGGTCGTGTAGTTCCTTTTCCCAACACAGTTATTCAGCCACTGGAAACAAGCAATATCAATTCAATCCTATTCACATGACAATAACCAAAGAGTGGCAAGAAATGACTGAACATAACACATAGTGATAGTACCTACCCTGCAATGGTGATCAAACCCTTCAACACAACGATTGCAAGTCCTGCAATGCTTACTATGCTTCTTCACCTGGTTCACATAATTGTTAGATTTAACAGGTTAGTTATGGTAAAATTAAGTAGCACGTGACACATCATATATATGAATACGAGGGTAATTAAAGAACCTCAAAATCACAAAGTGCACAAAACGAGATGTCATCCTCTTTGAGATCAGGGGCAATGGCATCATCATCATCCTTCATGACAAGAGGGAATGGTAACAGAGGCTCCATTTGGGGACTTATCTTCAAGGGATCAAGGTACTTCCTCTTAATGAACGTCCTAAGCAACTTCCTTTCCACCCTCCTGAAAAACCTCATCACAATCTGGCCAAGTATGAAGCCGTAATTAAGCTTGGGAATCGCGTTGGATTTGGCCTTCTTCTTCTTCTTCTTCCTGAACCTGGTTCTGTCGGTGGGGTCAATCGCCGTACACCTCACGAACAGAAACATCACCGCAACCGCCTGCGCAAAAACACGTGGCATCAGAAAACGAAACGGAGCTGAGAGTGAAAGCAAAAACGACGTACCACGAGGGAAAACGCGAGGGTGAGTGTGGTCTCGGCGGTTCGGTTTCCGAGGAAGAGTCCGAGGAAGGTGTAGAAACAGGCGACCAGAAATGCGTAAACTGCAGCGCCCACAAACTGCAAGAACAAGTTGAAAACGCAAGATGAATGCGTTTGTGGTGTGTGGTTAGAAAAAAAGGGAAGGGAAGCGGAAAATGGAGTTACCTGAAGAGGGTGGAGAGGGCGTTGCCATCCATGGCGTCTCATGGTGAAATGTGGGTTTGAGGGGGAAAGAGAGGTATTAGAGTTGCTAAGTTTGAAGTCAACTTGGCTCTCAACGGTCGAGTCTTTGTTTTCAAAATTGAACTCGACCGGGCTCGATAGGGGTTGGGTTGGGTTGGGTTTCATTAGATTTCCCTTTTCTTTCTACATCCAACGGATACCACTCCATGAGACATGAGTGATTACAAATTACAATTGTGGGCTGTGGCTTTCTTTGCCTTACCCACACAAAAGACAAAGTTTGTGGGACCTTTCTAATTGTCTCCACTTTCAGGCCTGATCCTCATGGGCTGGGCTCTTCATTGGGTCAAATCCACTGGGCCTTTATTTATGTGTCATTATCATTCTTTACATTGTAATGTATTGTTCATTTGTATAAAATGGTAAACGTGTATATATATATAAATGTAACAAGATTATTACTTTTATTTTTTATGCAAATGTTTTATGTGTTTTTCTTTTGGGAATGTATACAAATTGATGCTGTATCACACTTCTATTATTTTTGTGCTTATTATTGGATGAAATTTTGAAATGAAAGAGAAAGGCTTAATTTTAATAATTGAAAATTTATGAAAGTCGAATACGGGCAATTAAAATTAAACAAAAAAAAATTCCCTCATAAACTAATTCAAATTATTTCTAGTGAATAAAATAATGATAAAAATAAAATTAACTTAAATTAAAAACACAAAATAATCGGTGATTATGAATTTATGATTCAGGTGTGTTTGAAAAAATTGTAAAAATTAGATTATTTTAATTATCGATTATAAGCAAAATAAAATTTTATTAAAATAAGTTTGTAAAAAAGTGATTTTGAGATGTGTTATTTCGTTTGAATATAATGAAAAAGAAAACAATTTTTATGTAGTAAATCAAATTAAAAAAAAAACAGTTGAAAAATAATCATAAATATCAATTTTCAACTTTAAAAATAACTTATTTTTTAAAAAAGAATTTTTTTTAATAAATTTCAACTAACTTTTTTCGCATACAACTTTTGTCTTCTTCTATAAATACAGCTAAAAAGTGGAAAAATAATTTTTTCCAAATACACTCATTATTCATCATGAAGAGTCGGAATTACAATTTTTACTAATTGTATAGTTTGGAAATAAATATTTCCTATTTTTTTATTCTCATTTTGATGGATTTATTAAATATTTCGTAGTTTGGTTTAAGTGTATTTAATATTGTGACCAACAAGCTAGTTAACATCAAGATAGTAGATATGAATTGGATTAGATTAAATTTAATTTATATTTTTTATTTAATTTGATAAACTACAAATAGTTTGGATTAGTTTAATTTTTTTTTCATTTTTTACTGTTTAATTTGAATCAATCCAATTTAATCATATTTGAATTGATTTGGATCAAATGATTTGATTTATTATTAAAATAATGAAAAATAGTAACAACTATTCAAATGACATATATGACATATGTGTAAAACGAGTGATGACAAACAACACTTGAATAGTAATCACACATGTTTATATGTGATATGTAGGAAATATGTTTAGATCCCACTTCATCTATTCATTGAAAGTTTCACAACTTTATAGCTCATACAACAAGAATTCAAGTGAAAAATAGTAACCAAAAGTAAAAAAATAAAAAAAATAAAAAACTACAACGAATCTTGAAATCAACTGTAATATAATTAGGATACCTAGCTAAAAATATTTCTCCTAAAATTTTCGATTCATTGATGTAAATAGTTCCGCCTTTCATTTGTATGCACAATAAAATGATCATTGAAAGGAAAGCTCCTACTATAACTTATTAAACTTTCTTCTTCCTCCCAAGAAGAAAGATGACATGTGCTCCTATTAATTAATCACAACCTAATCCTTCTATAAACTTAATCGATCAACATCTTTAATTCTTCTTTATTGTCAAAGAGCAACAATCCAAAATTATTGCAATTGTGCATTTAAAACCAAACACAATATAGAACACACAAAAAAATCATGTTAAAAATGTCATTTCAAATTAGTATTTGTCACATCATCACAATATAGAACACAAATGATAATGAAAAATAAGATGCTTTAAACTAAAAAAAAAAAAAACTAAAAGACAAAATAAATAAAACTATAAAACTAAAAAAGAAATTCAAACTGAAAAAAAAATACACCAAAATAGTTTTCACCGCATCATCGCAACATAAATCACGCCGATTCATAGTGCGATTGTCCAATACATCAGTATTTTTTTTTTGTTTTTAATGTTATCTACATTCAACAAACCTTTTTTCTTCTCGCGACAGTTTGTTTGTTGGTTAGAATTCTAGAAATATGTTTTTCCTTTTCCATATAATATTTTTTTCTTGGTATTAAGAAACATAAACCATGTTCCTATCTTCAATGCTCTATACTGGGAAATAATATATACTGAGATGCAAACTAGGCAAAAAAAATAAAATAAAATTCAAGTATACCAGTGCATGCACAATTGTGATGCGAAAACTAAGTGGACGTAGATCCAGGCAAAATAGGTATCCCATTAAGAAGCGGAACACTTTGGCCATTGCTATTGTTATTTATTCCATCACTGCTTCCATGAGCTCCAATAATCGATGAGATCGCAGTTGCCAATGCTACAGTGAAGCTTGGATCGGAAGCAATAGCTGCAGTCACTGTCTCCATCATAGACGAAGGTTGTCGTTGACCTAGTGGATGTGACATCTTTTGGGGTAACATTACGGGGTGTCCTAGTAGCTGAGGAAAAGTAGCAGCTGCATGCAATGGATGTTGGTGCAGTTGCAAAGGGTTGGTGGTCATGTCAAGAGTGATAGTGGGAAATGGTGCAGAAGCTGAGAGTGTTGGCATTGGGATACTGCAGGGCATCGAAGAGAAGACTCCTACACTAGTGCTGTTTAGTGCTTCGTTATTAGTTGTAGAACTTGAAGATGATAAGAACATGGTTGCAGCAGCTGAGGTAGAATTGGCCATGGCTGTGGCTGCAGGTGGAAGAGGGTGGTTGTGGTTGCCTTCGTAGGTTGTTATTAACACCGTCATGTCTTCCATGCATCTTTGCACCTTTACAATAGCATACAGTTTCTTATTCAAAATAAGAAAGTTATCCGATATAAAAAAAAAGGGAAAGAAAAGCCATGCAGATATCATGTAAAAAACTTGGCAAATTAAATGGGTGTTTAAATATAGGTTAAATTATATTTTTAGATTTATATTATTTTTAAAATTTATTTAATTTTTTTTTATTTTTAAATATATTTATCTTAGTTATTTATATTTTAAATTTGAGTCAATTTAATATTTATATAATAGTGATCGTTTTTAATTTTGAGATACAGTTTTAATTTTTTAATTAATTTAAAATATAAAATGTATCTCACTAAATTCACAAAATTATGAATCTTAATTGATGTTTGAATTCAAATGAATTAAAAATATAGGAAGAATTGAGTGAAAGATAAATCACACAAGTAACCAAAACATAAATTGATATTATTATTTTTTTAATATTTTGTTTGTTAGTTGAATTCATTTTCACACGATCATTTTTATGGAAATTTGTTATTCAAATAATACTATTTTGAAAAATTATCCAAACAGTAACTGTGCAAATTTATTTCCCCAACTAGCACCATTTACTGTTCACGTTCAGAACGGGCCGTTCTGAAATCAGAACGGACCGTTCTAGATTAAAAAACAACACATAGAGAATGGATCAGAACGGGCTGTTCCAAATTCCAAATTAGCACACAAAAAGTGAAACCAGAATGGACCGTTCTAAATCCGGAACAGGTTGTTTTGGCCTACAGATTTATATCATTTTTTTTTCGATTTTTACTTATCAAATACCAAAATTCAGAGACTACCATCAAATGATTAAATTTATTGAATATTAACATTATAAATATAACTAAATAAGTTTATTCAAATTCATTACAACAATAAAAATTAATGGTGGCGGAAACTAAATTCATGACCAATATTTGGATGTCTTTCTAGTGTGACTAGGGGGTGTGACAATAAGAACAATTTTTTACACGATTATGTTGTTCTCTAATGTTCATCTTTGTTTTAATCTTGCTGGACTTTGGCCGACCCTTGAAAGTTCTTTTGAGTTCTAGATTTGGCCACAAAGTTGGAAGAAATGCAACATCCGAGAGAAGTTTGACCTGCTGAGAGATTTATAGTAAGGTTAAATGAAATGTAGTATGATTGCGGCAAGTTCCAGAAAGTTCATATCCCTTGCTCGCATGACCCGCTGAGAGAATTATAGTAAGGCTAAATGAAATGTGGTGTGATTGCGACAAATTCTAGAAAGTTTATATCTCTTGCTCACATGGTCACACCTCTGGTCACACTAGGAAGACATATCCAAATATTGGTCATGAATTCAGTTTCAGCCACCATTGATCTTTATTGTTGTATTAAATTTTAATAAAATTATTTAGTTATATTTATAATGTTAATATTCAATAAATTTAATTATTTGATGTTAATTTCTGAGTTTTGGTATTTGATAAGTGAAAATCGAAAAAGAAAATTATTTATAGGCCAGAATGGCCTGTTCTGGTTCCACTTTTTATGTGCTAATTTTGAATCTGGAACGGCCTGTTCTAGTTTCAGAATGGCCCGTTCTGAACATAAACAGTAAATGGTGTTAGTTAGGAAAATAAATTTGTACATATGTTATTTAGGTAATTTAAAAAAAAAAATAGTATTATTTGAGATGAAGATACACAATCCGGAATGCTGGCCCAAGAGTTACTCCCTAGTCTTTTGTCTGACAGTATGGGTTTTATCCATCTAAGTACTTCGTTATCTTTTATTTTTTATTTTTTTCTTTTCCTGCCTTTACGTCGTTAAGATGTATATAAAAAAAAACTAACAGTTGAGTTCAATAATTTTCTTTTTGTTCAATAATTTTTTTGTTGTTGATAGATCTAACGAAATAAATTTTATGCTTTAAATGTCAAATAAAGATTCAAAATATTTTCTCTAAATTAAAAATGACCATTGCTTTCGGAAAGTCCATATCAACTAAAATTTAAAAGATTGAGAACTAAAATAAATTTTTTTAAAATATAAAATATAGAAATAAAATAAAATAAAAATAAGATTAAAAGACTAAAATATTATTTAGTTTTAAATATATTTATTTTGTTCCTTGATGATCATGATGTACGGGTGTTTATGGATATAAATGAATTGACTTATCTATAAACTATTCAAATTCAATTCATTAAATATTCAATCAAATTTGTTTGTTAAACTAAATAAATAAATTTTTGTTTAAAGTTAAGTTTTAATTATTTAAATGAGTTAGCTGAAATTTTTATGTACTTAACAATAAAAGCTATTGCATATATGTATTACCTAAAAGTTATAATTTTTTTAATAGATTTTATTTAAAAGTTATCATTCATGTAGTTTTAAATTTTGAAGTATCAATATTTTAAATTGGTGAACGAAAGTTTCTTAAAATCTCCTATTTTTACTACTATTTTTTTTATCCTTTCAAATCTTAATTTGTTTATTTATTTATAAAAATATAAAAAAAATTATAAAAAAAACACAATAAAGATTAAATTTATATTTACTTTAAGAATAAATTTTGGTAGACTTGACCTGATCAATAACTCATATTTTACATCAAATTTTAATGATTTAATTGTTAAATTAAAAGTTATTAATGTAGAAACCAAATGTATAAATTTTGAAAACTATTTGATACTTCGTTTCATTAATTTAAATTGACAGATAATTATAAAAATATTTTATACATTAATTTAAATTTATATAATAAAATATCATATAATTTTTAAATCTTTTAAAAATTTGTAGACTTAAATTTCTACATTAAGAACTTTTAATCAAATGATTGAATCATTAAAATTTAATATAAAACATGAGTTATTAAATGAAATTAGTCTACAAAAACTTACTTTTAAAGTAAGTGAATCCCTTTTAATAAATAAGTTCAATAAGATTCATATTATTTAACCAAGCCAACTAACCCTCAAGCTTAAATTAGGATGATTTAAATATATACAATTAATTATATGTAAATTCTTTAATTTTTTTACAAATTATGTTTGAACTTTTAGTATAGTAGGCTCACTCAACCTATTGACATCTTATTAATTATCATCTCGTCTTCCTTAAAGTAAAAGGAAAGTAAAACTTCATAAAAATAAAAAATAAAAAAGTAAAATGAAAGTTATTTACCTGCTTACGAACTGGGCATCCTACGGCCATAGTGCAACGATAATAGGCACGGGGACAAGGATTAGCCTTCGCTATTTTTTGTCCATATTTTCTCCATTGACATCCATCGCTAATCTGAAAACGCACATTCATTAGATACATTTTTTTTTATCCATAATAGATACATATAAATGTGTGGGTAAGTAGGTTTAACTGGGGAAATTTAAATTTAATTATCTAGCCATTTACAATCAATTTACAGAATATGCGTAATATAAACTAGCACATATAATTAAAACAATTAAATTATTACCAGAGGAGCTTCTGATCTTGCACGCACGGAAACCCTGGGTTTTTTGAAAGGATGTTCACTAGGCTTGGATTCTTCGAACTTTAGATTCTTGGATGATCCCCAACTCTGTGAAGATGATTGTTCAGGAACATCTTCTACAGGATCAGGACGAGCCTGTTTTCCAATATTACGTTTACTCAATGATGGCCATTTTTATACAATTAATTAATTACCTATGAATTGTTTGAGGAAATTGAAAATTCAATTTTTGATCATATTTTTATCGTCACTAACAACTTTAATTAGTGTCTAATTTGGTGCATGATCATGGGTCCAATAAAAGTTGACCACACATCATTCCACTTATCTTTTAAAAATTTGTAGACTTAAATTTCTACATTAAGAACTTTTAATCAAATGATTGAATCATTAAAATTTAATATAAAACATGAGTTATTAAATGAAATTAGTCTACAAAAACTTACTTTTAAAGTAAGTGAATCCCTTTTAATAAATAAGTTCAATAAGATTCATATTATTTAACCAAGCCAACTAACCCTCAAGCTTAAATTAGGATGATTTAAATATATACAATTAATTATATGTAAATTCTTTAATTTTTTTACAAATTATGTTTGAACTTTTAGTATAGTAGGCTCACTCAACCTATTGACATCTTATTAATTATCATCTCGTCTTCCTTAAAGTAAAAGGAAAGTAAAACTTCATAAAAATAAAAAATAAAAAAGTAAAATGAAAGTTATTTACCTGCTTACGAACTGGGCATCCTACGGCCATAGTGCAACGATAATAGGCACGGGGACAAGGATTAGCCTTCGCTATTTTTTGTCCATATTTTCTCCATTGACATCCATCGCTAATCTGAAAACGCACATTCATTAGATACATTTTTTTTTATCCATAATAGATACATATAAATGTGTGGGTAAGTAGGTTTAACTGGGGAAATTTAAATTTAATTATCTAGCCATTTACAATCAATTTACAGAATATGCGTAATATAAACTAGCACATATAATTAAAACAATTAAATTATTACCAGAGGAGCTTCTGATCTTGCACGCACGGAAACCCTGGGTTTTTTGAAAGGATGTTCACTAGGCTTGGATTCTTCGAACTTTAGATTCTTGGATGATCCCCAACTCTGTGAAGATGATTGTTCAGGAACATCTTCTACAGGATCAGGACGAGCCTGTTTTCCAATATTACGTTTACTCAATGATGGCCATTTTTATACAATTAATTAATTACCTATGAATTGTTTGAGGAAATTGAAAATTCAATTTTTGATCATATTTTTATCGTCACTAACAACTTTAATTAGTGTCTAATTTGGTGCATGATCATGGGTCCAATAAAAGTTGACCACACATCATTCCACTTGTCTCCACCTTCTGTTGCATAAATATAGGTTCAGCACTTCGGGTTATAACTTATATAATGTTTGTATGTATAAATTTCTTACATATTAAGCTATGGTCGGCAAATTCTAGCAGATAAGTTATTGATAGTTGACAATTTATCACTGATAGTGAATAAGCTAAATGAAAGTGAATGAGTTAATTTATAGGTTTGTTATAGTTGACAGTATATAAGACAACCGATTAAATTATTAGTGATTGGTAAACTTGCCTGTGCTAAACATAATAAGATGAAAAATAAAAAAAAATATATATTGAGATGAGAATGACTTATTTTAGGAATAAGTTAGATAAATTTATTTTATTTAATAATTTATATTTTATATTAAATTTAAATAATTTAATTATTAAATTAAAAATTATTAATACATAATTTTTTTTAAAAATTTAAAAATTATATGATTTTTCAGTAAATCATGATATATACTCATACAAAACATAAAAAAATATAAAGATCGTGTAGTAACATAAATCACATTCTCTTAAACATACTTAATTAAACATCGAAAACATATATCAAAATACATGACAACCTCACAACAAACAACAAGTGTATTATTATCTAATGATATAAATTAAAGTCCTCCACCTCTCCTCAAAAGTAAGTAGCTCTTGCATTTGGTCATCAATCAAATTCAAGCTTTAATTTTTGTTAGATCTATAATATCTATTAAATTTACTTATTTATCTTTAAACAATATATCATTTCTAACTTCTTATATGCCCCATATCATAGCAAACTAAATTACCTTTCACCCTTCCTATCAATCCCACCCACAGTCATTCAACAATTCCGCAAATTGTTGGGGAAAAAGATTAAAAAAAATGGCATGTTCATCATAAAAGTAAAATGGCATATTCCTATTCTTTAAATATTTCATATGTGTAATTTTTATTAAGTTAATCACTTATACATTGCCAGTGTAACGTGTAAAGTTTTTTACACTGATAATCAATCATAGCCGTTAATAGTATATATTTTATTTTAATTTAATTAAATGAGCAGATGAAAAGGTACTATTAACGGTTCTGATTGACTACCAATGTAAAAAAATTTTATACCGGTAGTGTATTGGTGATTAATTCATTTTTCTTTCTGGTATTATTCTTTACAAGTTCTATGTAAATAAAATTCATCTAACTTATTACTGTTGTTTAATTATAAAAGAAACACCATTTTCTCTAACTTTCCCTCTAAATAAAGGCGTAGTCAAAGGGTTGCTAGCATGTTCTAGGAACTTTATTATATATGAAACTTAAATTTTTTTTTTCTTGTGTATAGTATATGTATAATACCTCAAAAGCATAAATCAAAAGTACTTTTATTTATGAAAATATATAAAGAAATAAACTTTGACTATTAAAACACTTCAAAACATATAATGAAAATAAGAACTTAAAAGATATCATGCATGTAAGTACCACTAGTGAAAAAAAACGAGATTTAACAACGGAATATTTCATCTTACTGTAACACATGATGCAATAATATTTTTGAAAATAATGTCAATTATATTTAATTAATTAGAAAACATTTGTTTTATGAATTATAAATTTATTCTTAAAAATCATGTTTTTAAGAATATTTTAATTAAAATGTTATTCTAAAACATATTTAGAAAATGTGTGCTTGCATTCTAATATTTTTTGAAATATTTTTAAAATTAAAATAATTAAAATAAAAAAGAAAAATTATTAGTATGTTAAAATATAACTTCTCATATTCTCACAAGAATATTATTTTTTCATCCCTCAACATGAATAATTTAATTATTAAATTAAAAATTATTAATACATAATTTTTTTTAAAAATTTAAAAATTATATGATTTTTCAGTAAATCATGATATATACTCATACAAAACATAAAAAAATATAAAGATCGTGTAGTAACATAAATCACATTCTCTTAAACATACTTAATTAAACATCGAAAACATATATCAAAATACATGACAACCTCACAACAAACAACAAGTGTATTATTATCTAATGATATAAATTAAAGTCCTCCACCTCTCCTCAAAAGTAAGTAGCTCTTGCATTTGGTCATCAATCAAATTCAAGCTTTAATTTTTGTTAGATCTATAATATCTATTAAATTTACTTATTTATCTTTAAACAATATATCATTTCTAACTTCTTATATGCCCCATATCATAGCAAACTAAATTACCTTTCACCCTTCCTATCAATCCCACCCACAGTCATTCAACAATTCCGCAAATTGTTGGGGAAAAAGATTAAAAAAAATGGCATGTTCATCATAAAAGTAAAATGGCATATTCCTATTCTTTAAATATTTCATATGTGTAATTTTTATTAAGTTAATCACTTATACATTGCCAGTGTAACGTGTAAAGTTTTTTACACTGATAATCAATCATAGCCGTTAATAGTATATATTTTATTTTAATTTAATTAAATGAGCAGATGAAAAGGTACTATTAACGGTTCTGATTGACTACCAATGTAAAAAAATTTTATACCGGTAGTGTATTGGTGATTAATTCATTTTTCTTTCTGGTATTATTCTTTACAAGTTCTATGTAAATAAAATTCATCTAACTTATTACTGTTGTTTAATTATAAAAGAAACACCATTTTCTCTAACTTTCCCTCTAAATAAAGGCGTAGTCAAAGGGTTGCTAGCATGTTCTAGGAACTTTATTATATATGAAACTTAAATTTTTTTTTTCTTGTGTATAGTATATGTATAATACCTCAAAAGCATAAATCAAAAGTACTTTTATTTATGAAAATATATAAAGAAATAAACTTTGACTATTAAAACACTTCAAAACATATAATGAAAATAAGAACTTAAAAGATATCATGCATGTAAGTACCACTAGTGAAAAAAAACGAGATTTAACAACGGAATATTTCATCTTACTGTAACACATGATGCAATAATATTTTTGAAAATAATGTCAATTATATTTAATTAATTAGAAAACATTTGTTTTATGAATTATAAATTTATTCTTAAAAATCATGTTTTTAAGAATATTTTAATTAAAATGTTATTCTAAAACATATTTAGAAAATGTGTGCTTGCATTCTAATATTTTTTGAAATATTTTTAAAATTAAAATAATTAAAATAAAAAAGAAAAATTATTAGTATGTTAAAATATAACTTCTCATATTCTCACAAGAATATTATTTTTTCATCCCTCAACATGAAAATAAAAAGGTAAAAAAATATGGTAGGTTAACTTTTTTAAAAAATAATTTTTCAAAACTTATAACAAATATATAAATATTAAATTTCTATACTTACATTTTCGAGAAAGAAGTTCTAATTTATGAAACAAACGCTCTTATAATTTAACTTATCAATTATATTACATCGATTTCACAAGCGGAAAGTTAACGATGCCATTCATGTTGAAGAGCGAGTTTGGGGAGAAGGTTCGCCAGAAAAGTCTGTAGCGTGGTTTGGTATTGGGGAAGGTGGTGGGGCGCCGAAAAATAGGCGAATATTTTTTCATACGATTAAAAACTTTATATCATTACATATCTATATTCATCTATATATTGTTCTTTAATTAATTTAGAATATTACTTTTTAACTAATACTAATGTAAAAGACTCATTTGTGCTATAGTATATTCATTGTATATATAACATTGTTTGAATAATAACTTTAACACAATTATGTTTTAACTACTAGAAAATACATAATTCAAGTATATCTACCTAGTCACTTTTTCATATGTGAAAAATGCATCATTGAAATATATCTATTAAGTCACTTTTTCATATATGAGGATCAATTTGTAACCTTGTCACATGTTAATCATGTCAAAATTCAAGTAAATATTTCATATTGAAAACACCAGAAGCGATTTAAAGTTTTAAAAGATAGAAATAGAAACTTCTAGAATTAAAAAAATAATAATATTGAACAAGAGAAAGTGTATTGAAAAAAAAAATCAAATCCTACATCAACTAAAATAAGATAATTAAAGAATATAAATAAAAAATAATTTTTATTTTGTAAACCAATTTTGTAGAATTGAATTAGATTTCAATTCACTTTCTAATTTCTAAGACAATATATGATCTTATCAGGTGAGCATAACTCAAGGGTGAAAAAGAGTCTTAGTTTCATATTGACTAGTGATAGGAACATATTTTTGTGTTTTCTTCCATTGTAAGCTTAACTTGAGATGTATAATTTAATGAAGCTAAAGTTGACATATAATCGAGTCCTGGTCAACATGTATATAGAACTAGCTACCTGATGCGGCTTTTGTTTCTGCATAGCAGCGAACAATTGTAGCTGGTGGTAATTTCTGGTGATTTGATCTAACATAGTTCTCAGCTGACAATTTTCTTCCTTTAGTATTGATACTTCCGTTCGAAGTGTACTGTGCTGAAAATAATAATAAATAAAACAAATTCAACATCCAAAAGCTTTTTTTATTAAAAACAAAAATACCAAACTTAATTTTCAGCATCTCTTTAATTTTGAAGCGCATAATATGATGCAAACCAGAGTTGTATGATCTTCATCATTTGCTGATGAACTTGACGATGTTAAATTCAGCGTGGTCTGTATTAAATAATATATATATATATATAGCAGGACATAAAGAAGAGTTAATATTTGGTGGCATATTATTAGAATCCATATATATAGTGCATGAGAACATTAATTTGAAAACTTACGTTTACTACGTGATGAGTGAAAAGAGTTGGTGATCCATGGTCTTTAGAGATATTCATGTGACTGTCTGGAGTGTGGTGTGAACTTGATGAGAGAAAGTGAACTTCTCTGATGGAAGAATCAGCGGCATACTCTCCGGTGATGGCGGTTGTGGGATCTAGAGTGAGATTGTGAGGGAGGAAACCGGTGGATCTGAGTATGGTCGTGGATTCACAGAGTGGTTGTTGCATTTGGTGGTGGTTTTCCATATTAATTTAGAAAAGGGTGGCAACTCCGCTAAAGATGCTTTCAACATATATAAGATGTGTTATGTGTGCTATTGCCTCCTTCCATCCGAGGGTGACTTAATTAGTGAGAATGGAGGGAGATAACTCTACTTTTCACCTGTATTTTGAAAACTGGACTGTTTCTCATTTATTTATACTCCTAGTACTGTTTCTGCTACCCAAGACGGGGAGGTTACTCAATCACAACAATATACTTGCTGGAAATATATATCTCCATAAAAATATCTACAACTATATATGTTAAAGGAGGTATTTTTAATTCATAATATTTTATCAAATTCTTTAACTAAAGTATCTTTAAACATTTTCTTTAATAAACAAAAATTAAAGTAATATATATATATATTACTGAGCTAACTGCATGAACTACACCCTTCGTATATAAGTTAGTTTCAAGATGTATCCTAAGTCCTAACTCCTAACCAATAGATAAGAGTTGTTCATTCCAGATAAGATTCGTTAAAGGCCAACATACATAATGCGAACTTGATGAAGTCGACTCATAACAGCCACACAACCAGCCTCAAATTCATAAGTAAAAATAGAAAATTATTAAAAATAAAAAAAATTAATCTGGACATATTCATAAACAAGCTTGTGGGTACAGTTACCCTCACTAAGTTTCAGCTATTTTTAACATCATATATAAATATTATATTATATTATTCTTACTAAGAGTGTATATTTTAATATACTATACAAAAGTTATAAGTTATCATATGGCAGTACATTAATATTATTAATTCTTTCTGGTTAACTTTTTACACCCCATCATTTTTAAAAAAATATTATATATTTAAAATGAAAATAAGATAAGTTTTTTACTAACATTTCACTTCTTCCTCCGTTAAACAATATTATTATGATATTATAAAAAAAAAAATAAGTTAGCATATCAAAACTTATTCTATATATATATTTCAACTTGCATACATTCAAGTTTTACTTTCATACGACTACAGTTTTATTTTTAACTTTTGTCTTTGAAACAAACTAGTTTAGTTATTTATGGAAGATAAGAGATGAATAATACAATGATTATTTAATTACTTATATAAGAATTTTTTTAATAGTATTAAAAATGAAAAAACTATCCAATATTTTCAAGATATAAAAAGTAACTTTACATTACAATTTAAATTATTTATTATAAATATAAAATATAATTTCTATATTAAAATATTTATTTTATAAATTTTAATTATATAAAACTCAATATATAAACTATATACCAGGGATTTTAAATATATATATATATATATATATATATTTATTTATTTATTTATTCAATAATTAAAAAATCAGAGTTAATTGGTCAAGCTGTGGAAAATTAAGTCAATGACTAAAATGGTTTTGGACGTGGCACTTGACGTGTTAAAAGAGATAGCTGGATTTTCTTTTGATAATCCCCTCGTCACCTCGTGGACTAAGAAATAGTCATATATACATACAACAAACCTATTATTATACGATGGCAGAGAATGATGGAACAATTAGCCCTATATATTAAGAAATATAATTGAACCTAGATATCTCACGTTCATGTAACACATGGCTATCTTCAAGTCAATGCCAGGTTATGTAGGTTTCATTTTATATTCATCTTTCATTTTCGATTACTTTGACAAACATGCCATTCCATAGACTATAAGTGTTCAACTCACCATCAAGTCGTGATCCTTTTACCATCATTCTAGTAACTTTTAAATTCTATTTTTTAATGTGAAAGCTGAATAACGCACGCCACCCTTTTCCTTCCAGTATTTATTTAGATAGCAACAGCTTACGACATTATTGCACAAAGTGGTCAAGCCGTGAATGAGCTAGCTAGAGGTTTTTTTTTTTTTCAAGCACATCACTACCAAAAAAAATGTCATGTTACATACATATTTTATATTAACACAATATTTATCATTAAAAATTACTTTTACTTTTAGATATCTAATTTCGTCTGAGACATACAAACAAGGAAATAGACTTTCATTATAAAAAAAAAAAAGGAGCTCACAAACATAGAAACAACAAGACATGACATCAGAAGGCCTAAAGCCCAACAAAAGACTGATTTAATAGCTCAGAACGGGTTGTTAAATATATATACATACATATATATATTATATCTATATGTAATATTTCTTGTAATACATGTATATTTAAATAAATTAACTTCTCTACAAATACTATAAAAATAAGAAAATAAATAAATTTTTCATAAGATAGAATTAATTTATTCGCAAGTTAAAAGTTAACTTTTAAAGAAATTAATATAAGAAAATTTGTATAAATTAACTTATTTTTAAGTTAATTTTAATTTTTGGAGAAGTTTATTTCATTTTTCTCATTATTTTCTTCTAAAAAGTGCTTATGAAAGAGTTTATTCATATAAACCAATATTCTTTTTTAATAAGTCATTCATTTTTTTAATCATTATAACCAAGGCTTTTAGCTCTATGATTAGATCAACGTATCATCTCCATCTTAATTTTGTCCATTAGATTAATTATTATGAGACTTTGACACTAAGTTCTTCACCTCTTTTTTTTTTTCTTTTCGAATATCTTCCACAAAAATATCAAACTTGTTCTTACCAGAATCAGGTCGGTCCTTCAAGTCAGATTTATCATCTTCTCTATCTTGGTCTCTCTAGAGATCATGAGAGATTGGTCTTTGAGATTGGTCTTCGAGATTGGTCGCCCTTCTCCAAGCGTCTCGGATGTACCTGCAAAAAAGACTCCGACGATCAAGTTAGTTATCTGAGATTGTCTAATAAAATGTATATATTTTTACCTGCTATTGTCCGTTTTCCTTCTCTATGTAACCGTCATTATTACCGTTAAATTAACTACTTGATATTGTGATTCAAGCTTGGACAGGCCGAGTTGGTAGGCCGAGTTTAGAGGTTGGTACACAAGCCTCCCAAGCTCTGAGCGATGTAAGAGTGATAGAGGTTAATCAGGAGATGTGTATATTGAAGTTGGCCATAAATTTAGTTTTATTTGGTGTAACACATATTAAGGGACTAATGACAACTTATTTAATATTTTGAATATCAAAAGACATAATGATAACACGTCCTTTCACCTGGTCACTTTTCGCTGCAAAACAGATGAAGTTTTTAAAGGTGGCGTTTCATTTTTCAATGTAACGATGAACCAAAATTTCTTTTATATTGGCAATCTCAACCCGTGAGATTTTCCAGTTCAGAGGGGTTAACATTAACCCCTTCCGAGGAGGAAGACATATAAAAATTACAATTATTGCCTCGGCTTTTAGAAAGCAAAGCTATTGTAGCACTTTCTAGATCAGAAAATCCTCGAGATGAATTAGAAAGTAAGTAATGGTAAAGTTGTTTAAAGTGAGTAATGTTTTGTTTGATTGATATGCTGATGTGTTACCTTGTCATTCAAAAATCATGGGAAGAAGTAAGTGGCGTGAACTAAAAGTCAAGTTCAACACTAAGGAGATAGAAATTTCCGATGTGGATCGCCCTTCTCGTAAGGGGAAGAAACAAAAAACCAACGACCCAGTTGAGGCTGGCAAACGAGAATTTGACAAACGAGTTATGGGATCAAGTTGCCAAGGTGATCTCGGCCAAGAAAAGGTAAGTTATAACATCTATGATTTTTGAATATTGTCTAAGTTTGCAAAAGGATATAAATTCTAACTTATTATCAAGTTTACAAGAGTCAATTGCTCAACTCGGATTTTCATCTCCTTCAACGCAAGTAGGGCCATCTCAAGTTGAGCAATCTTCTCGACCAAGAACATTACATCAGAGGTATGACTACAATCACCCTCTTGGCAAGTTGGATCATATAAGTATGTCTCTTGACGTTACCTCACTTTGGAACGCCAAGTTGACCGTGAAAGTCTTTTTCTTTTCTTTTTATAACAGTATTGGATTCAGCTAGGATTTGTTTTTTGTAAGATTGGAAATGTTCCAAAAACCTATTCACCAACTCTTCATGATAATATAATGATGTTTCATTTTGTGTTTGTTTGACAAATTACAAATCTCATCAACTATTCATAAATTGAGTGATAAACCATTAAAACGACTTCACAGTGTGAAGAATGGATTTTAATTGAATAGTAGAAACCGTTTAGGAGAGATTATATGTATTTGGCTAGGGCATTTAAAAATGGTTTATAAGTTCGTATAATTTAGGATAACTCTTTGGTCAGTTAATAGAGAGGTACGAATTTTATAAATCAGATACGAAATTGACTCAAACTTGGCCAATTTATAAATCAAATACAAAATTGGCTCAAAATTTGCCAATTTATAAATCAGATATGAAATTGGCTCAAACTTGGCCAATTTATAAATGTTGAACTCGATGACGTGAAGAAGAAATTTGTTGAGACTATAAAGGCTTTTGAAATATCCATAAGATCAAATAAATCTTATTCGACCAAGGTGGAAGAATTATTGAGCAAGGTGAAGGTTATGGAAAGAGAAAAAGAAGAAAATGAAAATGAAAAGGCTTGTCAAGAAGTCATAGCTGCTGATGTCGAGCGGGTTACTGAGTTAGACTCTAAGAACAAAAGTTTGAATGAAGAGCTTCAAACTACCGAGTTGCATGTAATATCAGAACTTAGAAAAGGATTTGCCAAAGCATTTCGGCAAACCAGAGTGATTGCTCCTGAGGTTAATCTTCAAGAGCTTAATGTCAACAAGGATGTGTTCGATGGTAAATTGGTTAACAAAGATGACTTACCGGAAGATGTCAGTAGTGAAGATTAATGTTGAATATTGTCTTTGCAATAGTTGTCTAAGTTACAATTATTTTTGTTGTTGTTTCTTCGTATTTCGATATTTGAAATGTATTAAGTAAAATATTGTAATAACATTTCAGAGTTGCTTTTGATTCAAAAATCTGAATTCAAAAATATGAATATTATATGGAGTTTGCATATTGAATCAATGGATTTTTCTCAAACTTAGCCAACTCACAGATGAATAATAAATTTGGATTTGAATCTATAATGAACTGGATAAATTATTGGTAAAGGGAAAAAATTAAGTTACGTTTGATAAGCTTTTAAATTGATAATAATTTTGACTCAGATTTGGCCGAATTGCAATTTAGAAATATTGATTCGAATTCGGTCAATATTTGGGTCGAGAGCGATATTGGTTTATGTTTGGCTAAACCATAAGTTGATATTAGTATTGACTCAAATTCGGCCAATATTTGAGATGTGATTGATATTGGCTTAGATTTGGCCAGATTACAATGTAACATTAAGGTTCGTCGGACTCGGCCAGTTTTTAAGGTTGGCTCAGACTCAGCCAATTTTTAAAGTTGGCTCAAACTTGGCCAATTTTTAAGGTTGGCTCAAACTTGGCCAATTTATAATTGTTTGAGAGATTGAAATTTGATAGCCGACTTTGACCTTATTTCCAAGTTCATCAGATTGTGGTAAAAACTAATTATCCTATCAAGCAGATACTACAGAAGCCAGATTTGGCGGGTTGAATGACAACTTGGTCAATTGAGTTATCCGAGTATGGAATCAAGTATGATAGCCGGGGGCCATTGCAAGCCCAATGCCTCGTTGATTTTGTTGCTAAACTCACATCTCCTATTGCCACAGAAGATCAATCAGGGATTTTACATGTTGACGGATTGTCTAACATTAAAGGCAGTGGTGCAAGAATCATCCTTGAAGGCCCCAACGAGATGATGCTTGAGCTCACCATCAAGTTTGATTTCCAAGGCACCAATAACCAAGATGAACACGAAGCTCTGTTAGCAGGTTTGAGATTGGCTCAAATTTGGCCAAGTTATAAATCAATAACAAAGTTGGCTCAAATTTGGCCAAGTTATAAATCAATAACGAAGTTGGCTCAAATTTGGCCAAGTTATAAATCAATAACAAAGTTGGCTCAAATTTGGCCAAGTTATAAATCAATATTGAAGTTGGCTCAAATTTGGCCAATTATGAATTAATAATGCTAGCAATGTGATTTATCTGCTTAACGTATGAAAATTGACAAAGTATGAACTTTGTATAGATGTGCTTGCATATAGTTGATTAAGAGATTGGCTTAAACTTGGCCAATTTATAGTTGATTAGGAGGTTGGCTCAAACTTGGCCAACTTATAGATGATTTAGGAGATTAGCTCAAACTTGGCCAACTTATAGTTGATTAGGAGGTTGGCTCAAACTTGGCCAACTTGTAGTTGATTAAGAGGTTATTGGCTCAAACTTGGCCAACTTATAGTTGATTAGGAGGTTGACTCAAACTTGGCCAACTTGTAGTTGATTAAGAGGTTATTGGCTCAAACTTGGCCAACTTATAGTTGATTAGGAGGTTGGCTCAAACTTGGCCAACTTATAGTTGATTAAGAGGTTATTGGCTCAAACTTGGCCAACTTATAGTTGATTAGGAGGTTGGCTCAAACTTGGCCAACTTATAACTGATTAAGAGATTGGCTCAAACTTGGCCAACTTATAGTTGATTAGGAGGTTGGCTCAAACTTGGCCAACTTATAGTTGATTAAGAGGTTATTGGCTCAAACTTGGCCAACTTATAGTTGATTAGGAGGTTGGCTCAAACTTGGCCAACTTGTAGTTGATTAAGAGGTTATTGGCTCAAACTTGGCCAACTTATAGTTGTGATCATATGTGGGATGACTAATGTGGGTATGCTCGGATTGACGAGTTCGAATAGGCTCCGACGGATATGTGGGATCAGGAGAAGAATGATCTTTTCGATTGATGCTTTGGCAAATCCTTTTCTAAGTTCTGATATTACATGCAACTCGGTAGTTTGAAGCTCTTCATTCAAACTTTTGTTCTTAGTCTAACTCAGTAACCCGCTCGACATCAGCAGCTATGACTTCTTGACAAGCCTTTTCATTTTTATTTTTTATAGTTGATTATGAGGTTGTTGGCTCAAACTTGGCCAACTTATAGCTGATTAGGAGATTGGCTCAAACTTGGCCAACTTATAGTTGATCAAGAGGATGGCTCAAACTTGGCCAATTGGCTCAAACTTGGCTCAGAGTCAGGAAAATATTTCAAAGGCCCCTGTACCATTGGTGGAAGACTTTGCCATTGTTTTGGGAAGAAAACCAAATCACTCTATAGGTGTTGGCAGTTCAGGAATAACTAAGAAATTTTCACAAAAATAATTTCTTCAAAATCAACTTGTCATTAAAGTTTCACTATACTAGTTCACAAATAGATATTAAAAAATTGCATAAAAGCATTATTACTAACTATCAACACATAAAGAAAATTGCAACTATATATAATATGTCACATACAACATATATAATTAATGTTTTATATTTAATAACAACATAAATTCTATAAAATATCTTTTTACTTACCATAATTTGTTCTCCATTTGGAATGCACCAAGTCCCATTAGATCTCATACGTGTTGCTTTCCAAACTTCCATAGCGTTTGGCCATTCATCAGCTTTGGATTCTTGTTTCTATTAAAATAAAATAATAAAATAATACAAGTAAATTAATGATTAAATTATCAAAAATAAAATTTAGTGTTGAATGACTTTATAAATTTGCAAACCTTACATTTATTGATATCTTATTCTATATGAAAATAAAAAGGGCAATTGTTTTATATAATGTACAAAGAATTTTACATGAAATATTACCATTTCAAATGCCTTTTGCACAATTGATTTTGTACCGGTAATTGATTTCATCTCTTGCTTGCTTCGATTAACTTTATTTTTTAAGCTCCTTTCTTGCATATGAATAAAAATTATTTATAATCTTATAAATATAAAATTATAACAAATAAATTTAAACTCAAAATATTTAAGTAATTTTACCTGAAATTTTAAATCACTCCACTTATTATTGATTAACCAATTCCAATCATCAGGAGATACATTTTTTGGCCTTCCCTTCTTTTTGAGATATAGTTGATGTAAATGATAAAGCTTATTTTTGTATTGAGATTGAATTTGCTTCATTGCATATTCCTTAACCTCATCAGATAAACTTAATGCATCCTATGTCACATGAATATTATAAGAGAAACATAAACAAAACATTATCAAATGAAGTTTAAAAATATAAATTATGTTGAATGAAAGGGTAAAATTGGAAAATAAAATAAATCCTATACTAATGAGGCTTAGGAGAGAACTAATACTCTATGATCATGAGGAGAGTGTCCCTTGGTGTGTGAGCTCCCTCCTTCTCTTCAACTCTCCTAGCCATGGACCTAGTGATGGGGCCCACATGTGTCCTCAAGGATGGTCCTCCATCATAAATGATTATGAGAAATGGGTCCATTGGTATCACCCCTTTGTCAAATTGTGGCTGACATGTGATAGAACTAGATGAAGACCGGTTGATGAATCTTCATAGCTCCACCTTCATTTGACCTTTGCACCTTGAGGTTGACTCAATTCGAAGCTTGAAACACCTTTGAAGAACCTTCAATGGTGGAGAAGCAACTTGGATGGTTCAGCCACTTCAAGAAGCTTGAAGAAGCTTGATGAACCTAGTTCAAAGGTTGAAAACCTTTGAAGGAAAACCTAGAAGAGAAGCTCCACGATTTAGAGACTTAAAAGAAGAGAGAATTCTTAAGAGAATTTCTGAATTCATTCATCAAAAGTGAGGTAATAGGTCAGATTTACAAATATATAGGGAGAGGTAGCTTAGAGAGCAAGCTAACCTTAACCATGGTTCACTAGGAACCATGGTAAGGTTTAGCCTAACCGTCCAAGGTTTGTAAAACTTGTAGAGCAAGCTAACCTTAACCAAGGTTTACTAGGAACCATGGTAAGGTCAAGCTTGACCGTCCAAGGTTTACAAAGCTTGGAGAGCAAGCTTCTAAGCTTTGGAAGAGCATGAGTGAAATTCGGCCAAAGGAGAACCAAGGAGCTAGGCGGCCAAGACTTAATTTACTCACTTAATTAATTTAAAAAATATTTGATTTGGTTTAGTTAGTTTCATCATATGATGATGAGACCTAGCTAAATCAAATCTATAAAAAAATTAGGAGCAAAATGAGTCTAATATGTAAAATTTTGCCTAGGCCCAACTCTGGCCCAATTTCTAATCACAGTCCCAGGCATTGCTAAATGCCACCCTCTTTTCCCTACTGAAAAATTAGAAAATGAATGTATCAACAAAGGAGGTTAAATGAAGTTAAACTCTCCAAGTAACCCACCCTAAAATCAATATACAATGACTAATAAAACCAAGTAAAATGCCTCAAGGAATTCTTGTAGTGAGTTTCTACAAGAAGTCGAGTTGGCAGGCCGAGTTGGTAGGCCGAGTTTAGAGGTTGGTACAAAACTCAAATCTTCATCTCTCTTTTCTAATCCAACAGTCACACTCATCGAGTGTATGGATGATAAAGAGCAGTGATTAACAGGTGGATATATGGAAATAAGAAAAAAGATAGAGAGAAAAAGTGACATATATAGGTGATGTGATAAAAAATGAAAAGAGAGAAAAAAAAATGGGATGAAAGTGAGATGGAAGAGGAAGAGAATATATAATTATAATTTTTCGATGAAAAACATTAAAAGGTTGACATTAAAATTTAGTAAATAATTACACGTATTTGTTTAAAAAATGAAAGTTGAGCATTATATCTTAAAACTATGGGGAAAAAATCTCATACATATAACCCATGCAGTAGACAAAGAATGAAGCATGCAACAGGAGAGGGAGTATGGCTGTATATATTATGGAATAAAGGACTTAGGAAGACCCACTCATGCATGTAACTAGCTACAACTTTTGCCCGCACGTTCGCTTCAAAAAGCACCAAATTCACAACCAAACTTCACGTGTGTATCAGTACTTCACCACCTTCTACTTTCTCCCTACACCTCCTCTACTAGTTAATTAATTATAGACTAATTATAAAGCACTAATTAGATTCCTACACCTGCAGCAAGAGAAAGTATATATTTATGAAAAGGAAAGTTGAACAATGTAATCTATCCCAATCTCCATTTAATACGTGCCTAATTTCTGTAATTCTTGTTTGTTGTATTTTTGATAAATATAATCTAATTTAGTGTACATATGAGATAAGGAAATTTAACTAACACAATGGGAAAAATTTACAAAAATTAGCAGACACGAAAGATGGTAATATTGTTGCAATATGATTTCATGATCCGAAAAAAACGACAAGAGAATGCTTTAGTTGTCATTTTAATACAAACATAATTAATCTGTTTTTATCATTTTCTGCCTATTTCCTTTAATATATGTTATTACTTTGAATAACCAATGCGATTTTAAACCTAAAAGTCACGGTTAATGTGGACCAAGTTGTGGGTATCGCCCACCAATTAGGAAAACCTGATCTTAAAATTGGAAAAGGAAGAGATCTCACTCGTATTGGGTGCCCCAATGAGAAAGGGAAAGCTAAGAGGGTAGAGCCTATTTTCAACCATAGCTAGAGACGACTTTTTCTTTCTTTTTCCTTTTGAATGCACATTTGGTGCATGAAAATACTCGAAGATAAAGGAAGTTTTGCGACTATGTAAATCGATCAACAAATACCAACCCTCCATCACGTTTTGCTTTCCCACTTTCCCGTGTCTGGAAATAATCTTGCCTTCAAATCCATTTTAACATTTTAAGTATCTTTCGAAAACATGAATAAGAATTGGATACAATTAATAGAGAAACCCTCAAGTTGTATACATTTAATATTTACGTCTTATAATATTTTTTATTATTCACCGCGATATATTTAAATAAATAACCAAATTTATCTTTTTATATTAAATACAAACTTCTATCTATTACAAAAGAAAAAAAAAATTCAGATTTTTTTTACAAAAGGACTTTTATAAAAAAATTTACTTCTTAACTAATTCGATTTTATTTATCATAAATATTTATTAATTAAATTTCAATATTTTTAAAATAAATATCAATAAATAAAAATAATATTATTCTAATATAAGTTATTTCATAAATCTAAAATATGACTTATATGTTTAAAAATATTTATTTATATAAATTTTAAATTTAATTTATATATTAAAGTATAGTATTTATTAGTATATAATTTATAATAAATTTTAGTTATATATAATAAATATTTAATATGTGGATTGCCCATGTTAAAATATTAGTGACTTGAGTAAATAGCCTTCAAGGGTGTGACTTTCCTAGCTAAACATTTAGTATAACTACTGTGTGAGAGTATATTGAGATGATTAATTTTTAACTCATTAATCAATTAATTAATTAGTGTCAATCAAATAAATTAAATTTAATACCAAACTCTACGTTAAAGTTTGTGTTTGATTTTAGTTATCTAAGTTTTCATTAATAACTCAACATGAAAGAGGAAAAATGTTACGTTTACGTTCAACTGAGTTTCAGACGGAGAATCTGTCAAAAGAAAAGGAGTTAGAGTTAGAGAGGGAGAAACAAACACTTAGCAACTCTTCTAGATGGACCTAAAAGCTGCAAGTTGGGCAACTTATTATGGTTTCATATTTCGTAATTAATATCGAAATGGGGAACCAAGAATAAAGCGAAACATATGGGACCAGATTTAAAGCTTGGTTGTGGAAGCTAAGTCAAAAGTGGTTCACTCTTGTATCTTCTGATTTCGACACAATGATCATGATAGACTAGAATATTATATTATTAGTTTACCTCGGAAAAAATGCAAAACAATATTTAATATTTTTTAAGATATAAAATTAATAAATTTGAAAAGTACTTCTTCCTCATTGGATCCGTTCAATTGAGATTGCCCAATCCTAGCTCCACTAGTGGCTTCATTTCAGAAGTTTCATCTTTTCTTTCTGATGGGCATATTTCAATATTCTTTGACATGCCAAATTTGTTTATTTTATTTTATTTTGATTAATAATAACCGAGGGATCCCTTGGTTTTTTCCTAGTGATTTATTTTTATTTTTAATTAAAACAATTATACTAGTGTATTTCCGCGACTTCTTGTTTCCATTATATAATCCAAATTAATATACTTCTCTCTAATTTAAATTAAAACAGTTATATTTATGTGTTTTCATGAGTTATTGTTTTTAGAGTCATGAATGGTGGTGTTGTGTTGTGGGCATGACATCATCACTTATTCGTTAATTAGTGTTTTAGTGGTGTTCTAATGTTGTTTACGTGGTGGCAGCAAACCAATAACCTAATGATTTTTATGTTGTTTTGATGTAGAAGACCAAACAAATCCTCAACTTAGACCATTCCAACCAACCCATAAAGATCAAATTGGTTCATTAAAGGTGACAAATTGGGCCGCCGACCCAAAAAGTCTGAATCAGCCCAAATTTCTTCAGAATTACAATTTTGGTGATAACCTAGCATGCTCTTATACTCGGCCAATACACCAAATTAATCCTAATAAAGAATTAAAAAATAAAATTAAGCATATTTAATATACATAAAGTTATTAAATAAAAATTGAAATAGTTTATTGGATTGGATCAAATAAACTCATTTTTTTAATCTAAAATTTAGAAGATTGGTCTGCTTATCAAGTTACATCAACACATGTTTATTTTTTCATGCCTAAATTTTAAGAGACTAACCTAATCTTAATTATATATCACTTTATGACATACTATGTTACTAATTCATTTTCGGAAGCAACTATTATATATCTAGCTATTTTTTTTAGAAATTAATTTTAATATTGAAATATTATTGGAAGAAAAAAAATTATACAAATATCTAATGATTTACAAAAGTTAGGTTTAATATCAGTATAAGTTTTT